TTGTTAAAACAAATAGTCCCTACATATTAGGAAATAAGTGTCTCATAACTTAATGTTTTAGCAATATCCACATTTAAACAGACAGTCGTACCTTTCTAGCAATCCGTTCTACAATCACCCGAGCTACAGGCATGATGGCGCCCCCCTCTGAATCGTAGAATGGGCTTTGAGGGTGGTCCAAACTGGTCAGGGGTCGTATTTTTTCCTGGGGAATGGTGGGCTTGTTTGGTGACTGAAAACCAACAAACAAATATAAAAAACATAAATGAGCCATAAAACTCTTCATAGTTATAAGTGATAAAACATGAATGTGTATGATTTGTTTAACACGTATCTGCATCTGCACATTAAAAACAAAAAAAGTCATTATGTTCATGTTTTGAATGACTAAATTTACACACTGACCTACAGCAATGAAAATGTAATATTTACATAAAACAGTTAAAGTTTCCATCTATACAGGTTTGTATTTTAATGTATTAAATGTATTTAAATCAAAGTACAAAACGATGATTTAAATAAAACAACAACAACAGCAACTAAAACAGTCAATACTATTGACAACAAAAATATAACACATCTTTTCCACTTTTCAATGATTTTGAAATTAAATAATTTTTACTCAAAACATAGTATTTACACCCCATTGATTATTAGGACTCTGTAAACTGATTTGAGGCCCACCTGCTCTTGTTGCTTATTTTGTTACGAACTGATGAACACATGATTGAAACCTCTTGATTAAAGGGGACCTCAGGTCTGAATGTAAATTTTAGAAACAACTTAGCATGAGTAATTTGGCTCAATGCTTTAAAAATATAAATCAAACGCATAAAAACAGAACTGTTTTCTTTGATAGCTCCAACAGTTTCCTCTGGTGCCTGTCCAAATGACTTTTTGAGCGTTTTACTTTTAAATAAAATTGATTGTCAGCAGATTGCAAGCCAGTCTGTGCAAATGAACAGTAGTTGTATGCCATTATTGACCACTAGCAAGAGTAAGAATAACAAAATGCAGTGGGGTGAGCTTGTGCTCAGAGGGTTAAAGGCTCTGAGAAACACTGAGAATCTGCTGCTCGGATACTTCAGCAGCTGATTTCTGCTAAAGGTCACATGCTTTATTCAAAGACAGTTTTCTCTGGTACGGTGCACTCCATTAGGTCTACTTATCAAACAATCATTACAAACAGCATCACAAACTCATCACTCTTTATACAATTAAATGCATGCTTTTCTTTAACACTTCAGTGATGTTTTCAGGTCCAGCAGCTCCATCAATACTAAATGGATGACAAAGGTTTGTATTGTTATTGATTATGTATAAAAAAGCTGCAAACAAGCGGTAAGTTCCACGTCGCTGAGGGATTTTGTAGTTTTTGAGTTTTTTTTTCTGAACTGGACTTGAACAAGGAATGCAAGTACTATTGGTTTTACTTCAAGATATTCAAGTGTGTGTGTGTGTGTGGGGGGGGGGGGGGGGTGTCAAGGTTTTTAAAAAAAAGGGTTTTTTTTTTTTTTTTGCATGTTCAAGTCAGTGCAGAGTGGTAGATCCTGATGATTGGAGGGAGCAATTTTATCCATGACCTGCACAATGGCAGAGCCAGGGGGTGGCCAGTGGTGGCCCTGGCCTTCAAAAAGGGTAATCTTTGGCCACCCCAAACATTTTAATAAATTGTACTTGTAGCCATATAAAAACAAACAAAATAGCATAGTTTTCTCAAATGGCAGGGTAGTCCGTTTACACATATATAAATATGGCAGTGGCCCTCTTGGATTTTGACATGGCAACCCAATTTTCAATAGTTACCTTTCTTAAGCCTAGATGCAGCCACACACTAAAATGAAAGTCTGTAACTAACTTATTTTTCAAGTTATCCATCTCACATCATGCACACATGGAGTATTTCCAATTCCCCCTCTTTGCTCTGTGATGGGGGACAAATACCGTCAGCTAACAGACAATGCTGCGCAACAGTTTTATTTATTTTTTTCTTTCAGAGTTAGTCATATATTTGTAATAATTTCAGCTGTTCTTTCAGAAGGTTTGCAAATGTTGGTTTTTTTTTGGACCAACTGTCAGAACCATGACAGTGTATTGTGCACAATGTGAGCTTCAAATTGGGGACAATGGAAGACAAAAACTATCTCCAGTGAAAAAACATTGTTTGAAAGTCCAGACAGGATCTGACATAGAATCAGGCTGATGCATCACTTTTCACTTAATCATCAACTATGCCAAGTTTTCAAGTAATAGCTCTTTTTGGTGTTAAAACCCCTATTAGTTTTTTGTCAAATTGCTATTTTTGTAATTATTTTGTGATGAAAACAAAAAAAAATTATACAATTTTGTAAAAATGAATGTGACGGTAATGCCTCTTTGCTCTACATGTGAAGATATGTTGCAATGAGTGACCATCAGGTCATGATTTAGGAAGAAACTATTCTCACCCTCCAACAATAACACTGTGCGAATCACACACTAACTGTGAGAAGGGTTGGTGTCCCGGGGGAAAACATTTACTCTTGTATACTGTGCATGAAGCGTCCCTGGGGCAGGAGAAGCAGTCTTCCACAGAGGAATGGTTACAGTAATCAGACTTAAGCAGCCAAGATTTACAGCCTAGTAATTATCAGTGGAACAGGGATACAAATCTAATGGCAGCATAAAGGGGATGGATGACTCTGAAACAGGCATTTCCAAAAGACAACATCATTTCTCTTCAGTAAAGAAACAATTCAGTGAGAGTAATTCAAAATATAACCACTAACAAAAAGTTATAAGTCAGCAAAGCAGTTTGGTTTTTAGATTGAATTTCCCAGCCAAGGTCATACGTGTCATAGGAATACTCATTCAGACAATAATTTTTCACTTCTTTAATCTCAAAATGCACAACTTCTCTGTTTCGCTGGGGGAAGGAATAGATCTCGGAGAGTTGTAAGCTCGACTCGGCGTACGTGACCACAAATTTGGCTGTTTGGAGTCGCCATTGAGATGTACTAGATGTACCAGTGAGACTGGAAAAGGCAAATGAAAATTAACAAAGTCGGCCTGACCCAAAACAACTGTTGTAATCTGAATCTGGCTCCCCTGGCGTCGGCCTTGGAAGGTTGACTATCTCAATTTCTCCTGGATGTTATGTGAACAAGACGCTCTGCTCCCCCCTTCCCTACCTGCTCCCTTCCCCAAGGACATGGACCATCAAATGTTTGAAATATTAACTTTTTTTTACATTTATAAAATGTATGCTGGTGCAGAAGAAATCATGGTTTAATAAAATATTTAAAAGGTTTACTGTTTGCCTAAAACTGCAAAATGTCATTCATGGAATCAGTAAAATATAAAATTGCAGAGTTACACATTTGTGTTAATTGGTACTTAAATTAAATACTTTTATTGTAAGTAGCTTATGAAGCTGAAATCAAGAAGTAAACACAGAAAACAAACGCATTGTCTCCAGAAAAACCCTAACCTGAAATAAAAAAGTCTGTATTTATGTCAGTCTGGTTTATGAAAACCTATTTACCTTTTCTATTGCCGAACAAACTCTTTGCTTATTCATGAGCTTGTAAACTATAAATAAATTGCTTTAGTCCCCAAACAGCAGGTGAATATGGATGAGCACCTTTTATTCCAAGGCTGTAGAAATTAAAGAAGGCTGTTGAGGTAACAGACAGGTGGAAGTGGAGAGTCATGTGATGTGGCAGTTTGATATATAAGCTGTCTGATACAAATATTACCAAGAATTTGTCAATGTGTGTATTAGAAGAAGACAGTTTCAAGGTTAGAAAACTGACTCCAACCTGCAATACATATTCCAGCCAGAAGGGGGCAACACTTGCTGTTGCAAACAGTTGTTCTTAATGATACACACAAAAACACATTTCATTACCTCATATGTGTAACCACTGTCTGTGCCTGCATCCCATGGTATCAGGTCCGTCACAAGTCTCTGCACCCAGCCACAGTCTTTGGTGCAAAGGTCCTCTCCTGACAGCCCCACGTTCCAGTCGGGGCTGGGCCCGAGCATGGTGAGGAAGGACATGAGGTGACGTGTCCGGTCCACAGAAAACTCTGCTGACGGAGCTGCGCGTCTGGATGGATTGACAGAAAATAATAAAAAGCTGTAAAAAATATTTTACATATAGCTCCAAAATAAATAAATGCGTAATAATGCCATGTGAAACTGTTTCCACTGCTGTCCTTGAAACTTACTTTAATTACATTCTAAAGCACCTCTTTTCATTTTTCATGACCTCTGACCCGAGTCACGCTGCTAATTGGTTAATAATTGCAGCTCTGAAATAGCCAATCAGAAGCAGAAAATTTCCCATTATGCTGTATTATTTTTTTATGTCTACAACACAATAACTGCAGTAAGATATTATGAACACAATATTGAAGAAAAAAAAAAATCTTAGTGACCTAATTATCTCATTATAACCCAGACATGAGCTTAAACACTTGCAGAATAATGTGATGACAATGTGACAACTTTGCATAAATCATTAAAAAAATTCACCATTGGTTCTTGGTGATTGTGTGAGCTTGTGCACGCATGTGTGTCATTCATTACAGTAATAGAGGAACAATGCATCGCAAATGGCAAACAATGCTAGGAGGAGCAATTAAAGAGATGCTTGGTGAAAGCTATGCGTGTGCGTGTGTATGTGTTTGGGGGGGGGGGGGGGGGGGGAATATTGTGTGTTTATGCTCATGCAGTCCTTAAGGGCTTTGACTGTGATAAGTTTTAATTGCTCTCAAGCTAATTCCAGACATGGCAGTAGGTGCCAACGTGTGTCATTATTTATCCAAACTAGTCTTTATGAGGAATAAAAAGAACATCATGAGAAAAACAACAAGGATTATTATTATTCATATGTGACAATTGTATCTGAATTATAGTTGCAATAAACAGCTCATGCACTGAGTTGGAACAGAAATTATTCCTGAGCATTTAAGTTCTGCTAATTATTTGTGCTAATTAAGAGTTTGTTGCGACGCAGATCAAGTTCCTATTGTTTGTTAGGAAGTCTCATGATCAAAATCTGACATTTAGCGCAACAAAAAAAAAGTTTAATCTGTTAAGAGAATGGACTCCACATTGAAAACAGATTCTTTCTTTGTCCTTTTTTTTCTTCAATTTTGTAATATAAAGTCATGAGAATGACTGAAAGTAATGATGCAACTTTTCAAAAAGAAAACAGTTCTTTATTTTGTAGACGTCATAAATAAACCAAAAAAAAAAGTGTCAGTTTGTGAGCGTACTGTGAGCAATCTTTGAAACCGAGGCAAAACAAATGACGACTATCTCCAAAAACATTTAGAAGACACCACTGTGTTGGAAAGAACAAAATATCTAGAGTTTAGTGAGGATGACGAACTGCTGTAAAACAAAATGTCTTTGCTGGTTAGACTGAGGAGAAAGTCAAAGTGGAGTCTTTTTGCTGCACTGACGCTGGATGGATGGATGGATGGATGGATGGATGGATGGATGGATGGATGGATGGATGGATGGATGGATATATATGCAACATGATACAAATGTATCCATCCATCAGCATCCTGGGTAAGGTTGTGGAGAGAACAGATTCAGGAGGAAAACACAAACTCGACTCTCCCTAGTGACTCTCTCTCTCTCTCGATCCTTCTGGGTGAACCCCCAGTGTCCCCGGGCCAGAAAGGATCCCCCCCCCCCCCCCCCCCAGGGTCTGTTTCTGACATTAGGTGAGGGTTGGTAAATGATATTCATGAGGAAGTTCCTGAATGTCTCCAGATTGTCTTTAAGACTTTTGCAGGGTTCTTAATTCCTTGTGAGTCACAGAGGTGCACAGGTTTTGAGCATATTAAAAAAATGTGCTGCCAATATCGTCTCGGGTGTCCAGCTTGCCTCAAACTGATCTGAATTTTGCCGCAGGCGTCTCCAACCAGACTCAAAAACATTAGAGTTGTGTTTTAAATCCTGCACAAGAGCTCAACTCTGACAGAAGGCATCCAAGGCTAATGCAGGTCTAAAAACCATGCAGATAAATAATAAATTCAAAATACTGATCAAATCTGCCTTTATTAATTTCCAAAATGTAATCCAGCAGATTTAATCGTGATCATGGAAGCAGCAAAGCAGGCAGAGGTGGGTGCGATGGATGTGGAGATGAACATACAACTTGTGCACAGCCATGAATATAGATTTGCTAACCATGCACAAAAAATAAGCTGTGATAAAAATAAAAATAAACCAGACTCATGGTTTGTTGGTCACTTGATTACAAACACTTGGGGTTCATTGAGAATGTAGCTGAAAATTCACAAAGTCTTTCACAATTTTGAATTTATTATTTTATTTTATTTTTTATCCAACTATTGTTCCAACAGTTGCAGCTCAGTGGGGCAGGGCCTTAAACTGAGAGCTTGCCTTTTGCCTCAGCTCCTTGTTCACCATGACTGACTGGAGCAACGCCCTCATTTCTGCAGATAAGACCCCAATCTGTCGATCTAGCTCCAGCTCCATCCTACCATCACTAATGACCAAGACTCATAGGAATTTAAACACTTCTGCTTGAGCCAAACAAATAAAACTCCTATAAATGAAGGCAGGGGCTGAAGGTTTTCCTTTTTTTTTTAACCTCCAACCCAGATATATTTGTAAGGACCACAGTTGTCCTCAACAAGTCGATTAACTTATATGCGAGTTAAAGTGAACTTCAGCAGCAAATCTTGGAAGTTTTAACTGTCTTGCCCTCGTTACTGTTGACAAACAACCAGAAGAACATGTTTAACATTGAAGAAGGGAACAAACCAGCTTCTTGCACAATGCTGCACAGGACAAGCTGAATTAGCCACCCAGGCTGTAATTTATAATCCCAGTTTGGGCCCACAGAACCACCAGCAAAGACAACAGTAACGCTTCCTTTAATGGTAAAGCAGGATATTTTGTCTTAGTCTTCCACATCACACATTTTATACAAACCCTCTTCTTTGTCATTTTTTTTTCAATGATCAATTTGTTTCAGTTTTACTTAAAGATGTTCACTGCAAAGTCATAAAGGATGCTCTCCACTGCACACCTATAGAAGGAGGTGAGGACTGTGCTTCCCAGACCAGCTCAAGTACTTGTAGCTGGAGACCACTTCCGTCTGAAGAACTACTGGAGTAAACTCTTTCAAGCTGCACCATTTAATCTATTTTAGGATCACCCTTTTCTCTGTTTGATTTCATACTTGCATCGAGTACCTTTAAGCGTGGCAGTTTCATACTTCATGGTGACTGGCATGTTAAAGAAGGGCTTTTCTCTTTGACGCTGTATGATACTCACAGGTTGAGCGGCTGCCACGCCGGCCACTGAGCCTTGGTTTTAATGACAGTCAGCACTTCATCACCCTGCAAAGACGCACACAGAGCGATACAGAGAGTTATGATAAGTCATTTGCCACTAAACTGACATTTATAAAGGGACAAAAAAGGAACACTGACAGAGAAAAAGCTTACATTGGCTAATTGACATGACTTAGGGCGAGCACTCTCATCCAAGGACAGCAAAGTGTATACCACTTTTCAAAGGCTTAAGAGGCCGGACAAAGTGTGTCTGTTATCACGAGAAAATGGCTCAGTGCTGTTGTATTAAAGCCGTCTGTTATTCTGTAGGGGAGCTTCACTTTGCACTCGGCACAGAACCCACTGCAGTCTATAATCTCTTTGTACCATTAAGGGCACTTTATGGACTGTGCAACACATTATCTATCATAATGCATCCTATCTAATTATGCAGCCAAAAGCAGGAGGACGAATGACAGATGTGGTTTGGTGCATCAGTCGGTTAGAAGTGGATTGCTCAGTCTAAATGTGCTTTTTAAAGGACTCTTTGTTGTTTTCTCTGCTCCTCTATATTTTAATATTTTCCTTTCAAAAACATGAACACGCAAATAAAACTACTTTGGTCATTTGTTTTTGTCCTGGTTGGCTGAAGGTCATAAAAGTGCTTTAAAACCATCCTGTCTTTCCTGGGGTGGGGTGAAAAAACCAAGAGTTTGTGTGTTGTCTTGTTGTATACAAGCTTGTTTGTGTTTATGTGGATGAAAATAAGTGTACAAGAGAGTTCACCGTGTCTTTAGTGCCGCTTGGGGCTTTGTGGCTTCAACGGCCTCAGACTTCCCCGCATCTTCACATCCACGCATAACAAGGTCGCGAATAATCACATACACACAGATGGAGGCACGCAGACAGATGGGGAGACAATTTAAGACGAGCAGTGAGACAGAAACACCAAGTGGTTCTGGAAAACTGCCAACAAGTTAAGAGAGGAAGAAACATAATTACAATACGCAAGAAGTAAAGATCCAGAGAGGAGCAGCTGAAAACAAGGATGATCTTCTGGCAAAAGTGCTTTAAGTGAGGAAACAAAACTAAACAATCATTATCATCTGCCGCACAAAGACAGAAGGTGGGCTATAACATGTTAGTGTGTGCGTGTGTTCATGTGTGTGTTTGTTAGCAAAATATCTCCACTGGACAACACTTTAATTAAACAAAAAACAGACATCTACAAGTGCTAACCTTTGGAGAAAACCTGATTCAAGATGGCTGCCACAGCCAACTGAACTTAAAAAATACAAAAATTAAAGCCAGTTTGCAGATTTTGACCTAAACGTTGATGTGGTGTAGCAACATATACTGTATATAACATATGAGCACTAAAAGAGCACAAGATCTTTTTATTTTACTTTATTTTGCCACAAAATCCAAGCATCCATTTTACCCACTTTTTTCCTTTCTGCATCACAGGGATCACTGGTGCCCATATCTAGCAGTCACTGTGTGAAAGGTGGGGGACACCCTGGACAGGTCTCAAGTCCATCACAGGGACACAACGAGACAATCAACCATTCACTCTCTTACTCACCCCTGGGGACAATTTAGAGTTACAATCAGCCTAGCAAGCATGATTTTGATCTGTGGGAGGAAACTGGAGTACCTGGAGAAAATCCACGCATGCACGGAGAGAACATGCAAATTGTACCCAAAAAGACCACGGCTGGGATTTGATCTGGCAACCTTCTTGCTGAGAGGCAACAGCTCTAGTCACTGCGCCACCATGTCATTCTGTGAGAGATGCCTAAACTTAAATATTTCTGTCTGCAGAAATCAGCATAACTGATCAAATATAATGTTCAATCCTGGTCCCCAAGGGCCTCTATCCTGCACGTTTCACATGTTTCCCAGCTCCAACAAACATGATTCAAAGGTTAAATTACCTCTACATGTTTTTCAAGGCTTGTAAATCATGCATGAAGTCAATCAGGTGTGTTGGAACAGAAAACATCTAAAAACATGAAGGATAGTGGCCATCGAGGACCAGGATTGGAAACCCCCGATTGAGACGTTTGGGTTATAATCTAAGTTTTTTGATGTTGCTAATCAAAAGGAAACCAGAGTGCCCGGAGAAAACCCACGCATGCACGAAGAGAACATGCAAACTCCACCCAGAAAGGTGCCTGGTCGGGATTTGATCCAGTGACCTCGCTGAGAGGTAACAGCTCTACCAACTGAACCACAATACCGCCCTGGATGCATCTAAGAAGTGTCATGAAACATTTTCTAGAAAATTAAATAACTTCTTTGAAAAACCCCGAAAAATCCATTAAAGAATAAAAATCTTGTTTGACTCAAAGAATTCACACAAAGTGAAAACAACAAAGTAAAAACTTTTTGTCCCCAAAATAAACAGGGTAAAGACAAATCTGTTCTTTTCTTTTTACCTTTACCTTTTTTTTCAAACACTTGACAGTTTTTAAAAGTGAAAATGTTCCGTTAGAGTGACATTTTATGTCCGACCACAGCCGAATGCTAAGAGGAGACTGTCCGTAGATGGAAATTTCTCTGTAATGGTTTTGTTTGTTTATGGTAATTATGGTAATGGTAGAAAATAACTGTGATTTTCCAATATTTAAATGTGTGTGTGACAGTTTTGTGATCATTTGTCGTAAATAAATGGAAGAACAAAGCAGAGGAAGAGAAGGGTGGGGCTCTGAAAGCAGGAGAGGTAAGGACAGCAGAAGAAATTAAAAATGGAGAAAAGTGGGAGAAAAATGAGAAGCATTATTGAGAAAGAAGGAGGGAGAGAACATGAAAAGGAGAGCAAAGAGATGAGAGGAAGACGAGGGCAGGGATGGAGGATTAAAATGGGACTGAAATGGAACAAAGGAGGCTAAGACTGGAACTACTGGAGGTAAAGAAAGTGGAGGAGATCAAAATGAGAAGAAGAAATGCACATTTAGAAGAGAAACTAATGATTAAATTTAATTTATTACATTTTACAAAGGTTCCAGTCAGCTCGTTTTTACATCTCCTTCACTCCCTCTATCAGATTTTTTCCTCTTTTCTGTTTTAGTTGCAAAAAGTTTACTAAAATATTCACTGGGTTAAATGTAATTTTGTACAGGATTAAAAAAAAAAAGACCTCAGAAAACTGTTGTGTAAGCAGCGTCACCAAGAGAGCTATTTTAACATAAGTTTTATAACTCAGTCAGTGAATGCTAAATAACTAATAATGTGTTTAGACAAATGCAAAAATGTCAGGGGGCTGAACAAAAGGCTTCCACTTAAAACTTTGACACTTTGACAGTAATTGTGACACCAGTTCTGAGAAAACCTGTTGCATTATTTGAGGTTTTTCTGCAATCTTATAATTTAACTGGCATTCTAGTTAAATGGACGACTACCATTACTCATATTTTGAAGAAAAATAAAGAATTTAACATCTTAAATTTGCAGGATTTCAGAGTTTATCAGATGATTTTGATTTTGAGCTTCAAATACACACAATGTCAAAGGAGACACAATGGCCAATAACACTTTTCTTTTGGCTTCTCCATACAGAAATGCAGTTTTTTTTTTCTTTGTTGCTTCTAAAAATATCCACATGAACAGTGTTTCTAAAAATGGCTTCATTTGCACAAAATGCAAAGAAAACAACCTCAAATGTTGCAGTAAGTATGCCAGGCCTGTGTGTGGCGCTGTAACGCTGTCACAAAAATACATAAAAAAATTGATGTCAATAAAGTTTGCATGCTGGCTGTAAATTATGAACAGAACAAGAAAAGATAACGGCCTCAGGTGGTCGGTTATATTAGAGGTGGAGCTATGACATTTTTAAAACGGTGTTCACACAAAAACATAAAGCTGTCGTTTCATATATTTCACCCGTTTTAAATCAATTTTAACACAAACATTACAGACTGTAGCTTCTAGAATGTATTTTCATGTGGCTGAACAAGGCTGAAAAAATATCTGAACAACTTCAGCAAATTAGCAAACAAAAGCTGTGATGTCCTCTTGAGCCAGATTGAGCCTTTTGGTGTCTGAAATCCCAAGCAAAACTGAAAAACTCTACAAACACACAGCACGTGCACTTTGTTTGGGAACTGTTGGAAATTTAATATTCGCAGATGATTATTTCACATTTAGAGATCAATGTAAACTGAAGTTTGCCGTTACAATATGTACCAAATTGGGCAGCACACTGGGTTAGTGGTTAACACTGCTGCCTCACAGTAAGAAGGTTGTGGGTTCACTCCCTGCATGGGCCTGGGATTTATATGTGTGGCATTTACACTTGTACTTTTAATAGTTGGCATTCATATTTTCTTTTTCTTTTTTTATTTGAAGCAGCCTTAAAAGTAAATATTTAATTTTATCAATATAAAAATGTACCATATTTTTTGCCTTATAGGTCGCACCTTTTTGCATAAATTTGCAAGTCCTCCAACTTATACACCAAAACGATTGATATACGTTTTCCCCCCACACACACACATTTATAACAATTTTTTGGCTGAGATCTGATGATTTCATTCATTCTGACATGAGAAAAATATTAAACATTAACATTTGCAGCCACTAGAGGGCCTTTGAGCCTTATGGTTAGCCATGTGTGTCATTAACAGGGAAAAGTTGTTCTTAATGAGACACTTTGCTTGCCATACAGGCCACCTTCGTCTCGCTCCGAAACTCCTGGAGCAAACATCAAATCAGCTGCATTCCACCGCGCTGCCCTGGTGAAATGCAGCTGATTTGACAATTAAAGTGCATTTATTAAGGACAAGTTAAATTGAGACACATCTTTGCTATAATGTCGAGCAAGCAAATAATTGTTTTTAAGTTAATCTTGTTAAATTCTTGTTAAAGTCCTCCCGTGCGCATTCCCGCTGCCGCCATTTTGGCAGTCAATCGATTTTTGGCACAACACCGGCCCACGTGTCCGGGTTGTCAGCAGTGATGAATAATAGAAGTGACTTGAATGGCAAAGCGACTTATTTATGTTTTTTTTCCACTTTATTAGACATTTTTGGACTGATGCAACTTTTATATGGCGGTGCAACTTGTACAGCGGAAAATACGGTAA